GGTGTGCCAGGAGGTCTGAGGGACTCCATGGAGCTGGCTGGCGCATGCCCAGGACACTGTGTTCCTTGGGATTACCAGACACCCACAAATAATTAGATGGCTTTCCCCAAAATCAACAAGATCAGCAAAGAATAAAGCCCTTACATTTCCAGGCTAGAAAAAAAAAAGAGGCTGCCTCCCATCGGCTGGCTTGAGAGAGTTGGGCAAATTAATTCGGATGTGCCCTCCAAGCACACATAAATGAGGGTTCACAGAGCTCCTAGGGGTACACAAGGAATGCTGAATGGCTTAGTTGTCTCCAGACATAGTAACAGAAGATCCACCGAAGCCAGTGGTCCTCAAAGCGTGGTCCTTGGCCCTTTGAAATGCAGCATCTCTAGCCGCCACCCTGACCTACTGAATCCTCTGAAGATGGGCTCCAGGAGATTCTACCAAGCCCTCCAGGCCATTCTTAGGCACGTACAATTTGAGAACCACTTGCCTGCGCCATTTCTCCTGATTTCTTGACTGACAGCACAGTAGCGGCTATCGATTTTGGCTGCACAGAAGCAGTCCGCTGCCAAGGCTACAACCCAGAGCAATTAAATCAGAATCTCTGGGATTGGACCCCGGCACCAGGTCTTTTAAGGCTCCCCAGGTAATTTCAATGTGCAGCCAAGCCTGAGACCCACTGATTTGGAGCAAGAATGTGAATGAAGCAGTAAGTCATTCATAGCATTTGTGTGTGAGCGTATCAATCAACTCAGAATGCTGGGAATTACCATCTTTTCCTTTGCTCAGAGTTTTTGTGTTTGTTTTTCCCACCACTACTTCCTCGATCGTCCTCTGCAGGTTCTGCACCCCCAAGAGAAGTTCTGAAGACACTTGTCCCCCCACCCATTCACCCACCGCTACCACCATCCAATTGTTAACGTTACTGAAATCACTGACTCAAGCTAAGATCTAAGAAAAGGCTCCATTCATTCTAGGTTCTTAGGATCCAGTGTGAATCTGCAAATTGAAGACAATTATGTTTCTGTTATATGTGTGTTTCTTCTGTGTGGGATTTATCTACAGTGTTCCTATTATGTTCATGCATTTTATTCAGCTTTTGGTCCAGATCAGCACCAAAGCAGGCTAATAAGGCCTGTTTTATGTTTTGTTTAGCCTTTGAAACATGCAAGCATCTCACCTGCTAATTGGAGACAGTGGATGGGCCCCAGCACAGTGTTTCCTCAGCTGGGGGAGGGTGGAGAGGAAAAAATAAAAATCAATTTTTTCCCCTAGTATCCTGTGAACTGTACTGCAAGAAAGCTGTTGAGTCGCTTTAAATGACACTTTTAGGTTCTAATAAAAATATGTTTTAAGGGCTTCCCTGGTGGCACAATGGTTGTGAATCTGCCTGCTAATGCAGGGGACACGGGTTCGAGCCCTGGTCTGGGAAGATCCCACATGTCGCGGAGCAACTAGGCCCGTGAGCCACAACTACTGAGCCTGCGCGTCTGGAGCCTGTGCTCCGCAACAAGAGAGGCCACAGTAGTGAGAGGCCCGCGCACCGCGATGAAGAGTGGCCCCCGCTTGCCACAACTAGAGAAAGCCCTCGCACAGAAACAAAGACCCAACACAGCAAAAATTAATTAATTAATAAACTCCTACCCCCAACATCTTCTTTAAAAAAAAAAAAAAGGACGACCTTTTTTGTGTTTTTTTTTTTTATATATATATATATATATATATATATATATATATATGTTTTTAAATGGAGCAATAGGATAGTTTACCTAAGATGTCATCATAAAGGCTAGGCTTACACTTTTAGCTTCAGATCAATTACTTGGAAGCTTTAGAAATCTTCAAGAAGCCCAATTTAGAAATGTGTCCAGTTCCTGGAGTTAACAATCTTACTCTGCCGATGTAACTCAAATGTTCTTTCTCAGGGGCACCCTAGGGTGCCATCTTCCACAAAGCCTCCAGGAGTTCTGAAACTATTCTATTTAAAGAGAAATGGATATTTAATATACTTGTTCATGTTTCTCTGCACATATTAGGCTGACCAAACATCCTGATCACTCTGGAACTTGCCCGTTTTAGCACTAAAAGTCCCATGTTCACCTTCCACTGGGCAACTGGGACAATTGGTCACCCTATATTCTGCCCAGATCTCCTTGCTCACCATCACTTTATAAATCCTCTCCTTCCGTGGGACTCATGCACTGCCTCATCTTAAACCATCAGCACATGTGCTTAGTACACACACACACCTGGTTCCTTCCTCACAATGAGAATGCAGATACATTCATTTATTCTTCCAGAATTTCTACTTCCCATTTTTCCCATGGCTATCACCACCCTCTCTCTCCACAGGGATGATTCCAGAAACATCTTGTTCTTTTTAATCACACCACCAGGGCAAATGCGAAGATGAAAGGAAAGTGATTCCTGTGTTTCAGAGCTCAAACTAGATGAAAGAGTACATCATAAAAGTTAACGAGTGCCTTTTTTCAATGGCGTAAATCTTTATTGCATCTCCATTCATTGCTGGATACCGACCTGCACCGAGTCCACAGTAAGCAAGCTAATAAGTGAGACAAACGTGCTCTCTTCACCCAGTAAGACTCCCTGGCATCCTAGATTTCCTTGTTCCTTGGCTTTCCATTGAACTGGGCAAATGCGTCTTTGGTTTTTGCTATTCCTTATCTTGGGCTGCTAGTAGCAACTGACTGAATCCACTGCCAATTTGTTCTTTCTAACTTCAGTGCTGCTCCAAAATTATTATAATAAACTTGATTAATTTCTCATAGTGGTTCTAAATTCTGTCCACAATGAACTTTCACCCACCCACCATGTAGTGCATGACTCTGTCATCTACCTTCCTGGGTTCAACATCATGGGATGGACTTCCAGCTACCGTTCACCTCCTACCTTAAATTCTCCCAGGCTCATCGTGGTCATTTTCTCTTGCCCTGTTGTCTTAAATAAGGAAATGTATTTTATTCTCTCTGAGACTTCTTCCTTTACCCTCTATCACTTCCTCTTTTAACATGCTTCTTCCATCAGTACCCATCAGATGTATTTTTCTGCCTTTTGATTTCTCTTTAACATACAAATATGCTTAAATCACAATTACTCTCAAGAAAAAAAGAGGTGATCTGACTCCACTGAAACTGTGGAATTCCTACACCTTTCCCTCTTTTGACCACGCCCGCCATCCACTTCTCCCACCCATTTCTCAACCCTGTGCTGTCTGTGTTTTGCTCCTGCTAAACTGAAATTTTCTTTCAAGTGGTACCAATAAACTACCTGTTAAAATGTGATGTCTCTTCTGAGTTCTCATCCATCTAAGCCTCTTGGCATCATTTGAGGGTGTTGCTGGGATTATCCTCTTTGACGTCTCTCATGTTATATACCCTGACTCTCCTGTCCTCTCACTGGACCACATCACCTCCCGTTGCCTATTCTTCCTCCTGTGCCTCTTCCAGTCTCACTCTGGACCCCATCCAGCATGGGCTTCAGCTATAGCTCCATTCTGTTGACCACACATCTATATTCCCACCTCTGAACTCTCTCCTGAGTTTTCTATCCTTATTTCTAAACACCTAATGGGCAGTTCCACATGGCAAAATCCAAAGATCCTCAAACTCAATACCTCCAAAGTGAAGGTCATAATCATCCCTCAAACCTGTCTCCCTGCGTTTTCTGTCTTAGTCTCTGAGTCTATCCTACTAGAAACTCCTGCATCAATCTTTACTTTTTTCTAGTCCACACTTCCAAGCATTTGCTAAATAACATGTTATGTTCATCATCAGAACTTTTTATTACAAATAGCAGAATCAAAACTCAAATTAAACAAGAAAAAGAAATGTATTAGCTCATGGAACCAAACCATAAAAAAGGATGGATTCATGTGAATGGTACTAGATTTCTCTCTCCACCTCTCATCTCAGCTTTTGTTTTTGTTTGCCCTCATTCTTGCAGGCTGCTTCATGTGGAAGGGGCCATGGCCACTAGCAGCCCTGAAGGCACATCCCGTTAACAATAATGAGAAGAGACACTTAATCTATATCAGGCACAATTCTAGGCACTTCAGAGCCCGTGAGGCAAGAAAGAGAAAACATACTCTCCACATCAAATGTAGAAGATCCATAGACAAGCTCTAAATTGGGCCAGCTTGGGTCATGTACCCACCTGCTGGAGCAACCACTGGGTCTAGAACCATGAAGTAGAGTAACAAGCAGGGTTTGGATCATCCATCAGCCCCTGACCTTGAGTGTTTCAAGTAGGAGGGGTCTGATGAACCACAGCAGGTGGGAAAAAATGCAGGGTTAGACTTTGGGGCGAGAAATGGAAATGCAGAAACTCAACAGTGCTAATTCACGTTCACGGGTCTTTGCATCACCTTATGAAAACGAAGCCCATCAGGAATTGTATCTGAATAGATGCCCTACCCTCCAAAAAAAAAAAAAAAGTACAGAAGAAAATCAAGACATTCCTCAGAAAACAGTTTTAAGAATACACTAGGGCTTCCCTGGTGGCGCAGTGATTAAGAATCCGCCTGCTAATGCAGGGGACACGGGCTCGAGCCCTGGTCTGGGAAGATCCCACATGCTGCGGAGTAACTAAGCCCGTGTGCCACAACTACTGAGCCTGCGCTCTAGAGCCTGTGTGCCACAACTACTGAAGCCTGCGCACCTAGACCCCATGCTCCGCAACAAGAGAAGCCACTGCAATGAGAAGCCCACGCACCGCAATGAAGAGCAGACCTGGCTCAGTGCAACTAGGGAAAGCCCATGCACAGCAACGAAGACCCAATGCAGTCAAAACTATAAATAAATAAAAAAAGAATACACTAAAACCACAAAGAATGGGTCATCAAAGCTCAAAAATGTATGCCGAGAGTTCTTAACCTCTGCAAGCATAGAATATCTTTTTTTTAAAAAAGTCTCAAACTTCTAAATAATAGTGGTTGTAATGATAAAAAGCATAATGATGAGACAGGATGGCACGCCTTTGCATAACGTTACCTGTTCAGCCTGCAGGTGCTGTTTCATCTCTTGCACTGACTTCAAGGCCCCAGGGAGGTCTGCAGTCATGGGTGACATTTAGCTCTTCTTTCTCATAGAACTTCAGGAGTTCTACCTGGAAAATTTCCAGAGGGGGTATTGAAATTGAAGCCATAAGAATCTCTATAATGTACCTGTAGTTTAAGTTTCCAGTGTCCCTTTTTAAGATAAATAGTTGGAAAATATACCCTGAGATAACTGCACAAGTGAACTTGACATTGTTTTAGACCACATAACAACTGCATCTACAGGCTGGCACTAACTGTCATGGATGGTGAACTCTATTTTTTTTGTTTCTACATCTACAGTTCCTCAGTTTATTGATTTCTCATTCATCAGAAGATTTGTAAGCATAATGAAGCCTAAATGGAGCACACATGAATATGAATTTTGTGGTGTGTATAAATTAAGCCTCCCGCTGCAACATTTGGGGGAGATCTTTCTCCTAGGAATGAATGTTGCCACCCGACAGGTGTGTAATAAGATGCTATTTTCATCCTCCATCATCTAAGGTTTTGAATGTAACTGGAAACATTCTTGGAGGTGGGGGAGGGAGATGCCCTGAGTCATTGTGAAAACCATTATTCTGCATCATGCTCAGCTGGACGTGGGAATGAATTAAAACAAATGTTCAAGAATGTTCTATTTCCATATGAAGCTATTTCATCTGTTATCTTTTTCTCTTGCACTTAAATGTGACTAAAAGATCTTCCAAAATGAGATGCAGCCTTGTATGAAATCAAATTGATTTCTCTTATTTGTAATTTACCAGAGAATATTTGTCCTGAGTATTATTAGGCAGCAAAGCTATTCTATTTATTTTTAAAAAAAGAGAAAAAGGAAAAAAACATTTGGAGTTGATGTTAAAAAGAAAGCTATACAGTGTGTTCTACATTTGAAATTCCACAAACTGTTAATAAACAGGATTTTTCCTGTAAAGAGAGGCATGCATCCTTTTGCCTCATTTCACCAGGCTCAGTGTTCACTTTTGCCATCCCCAGCACCCCTTGTTCAGTCAAATGTGTATGAAGTCCAAATCCATCTAAGAAATGCCCTGCTCCAGCCAGGATCAAACAGAACGCTTCTGGAATGGAACATCAGCAGAGCTGCTCCCTTTGTTCACTTTTTTCCCTTCACGTTTTTTATTGTTAGCAGTGACTACATTTCAGAAACAAAGCCACCTGCTTTCAAACACAAATGAGGAAAGGCTGTGTCTGTGTGTTTGTACGTGTGTGTGCACGTGCTGGGATGGGGGGCACGGATGTGTGTGTGTGTTCCCTCACAGAAGGAGTTATTTATGTGTCTGACCTGTCTTCAGGCACTTATAAAATATTCAGCAGGCTATAATGAACCTCTCTGGAGGGTGCTGAGCCCCAGATGGACATGTTAGGGAGTAAGGCTCAGGAGTAATGCTGAGAAGGCACTTGTGCTGAGATGCTCCTAGCCTGGCAGAGCCAGCATTCACCTGAGGGGCCAGGAGAGCCTTGACTCCTTATCTGTGAAAATCAGGGCACCTGACGTTGCCTTTGGGAGCCTTTGTTTTCTTATCTGTAAAATGAAAAGTCTGAACTATGTTGGGGGTCTTCATTCTTGGCTGCACAGTAGCCTCGCATGATTTTCTTATTTTTAATAATGATGCAAGGGCCTTACCCCAGACCACTTGAATTAAACCTCCAGGGATGGAATCCAGAAACGAATATTCTTTTAAGCTCCCAGGTGCGTCTAGGTGCAGCCAGGGTGGTGAACTGCGGCTGGGTGACCGCCAAAATCTCTCCAGTGCAGGTTCTGCAGGACTTGCTCCTGTCAGATCAGGTGTCTGTTGGGTCAGCTCTCTGTCCTCAGCGGTCCACCCTGCCCAGCCGTGCTCCATCCCATGGAACGTTCCAGGTGCATAAGTCATCAGGGCCAAAGCTCCAACAGGATCTGCGGAAACAGTCAACATCATTAACTGGACTACCCAATCTAAAGAGTGAGGATTTGGGGGGGTGGGGGGGGGAGGGAAGGATTGTTTAAAGGGAATCGTAGTGGTTCCTAAGAAGCCTGTGGGACAGCATCAAAGCTACTGGGAACTCTGCACAGTGAGCTCATTTTCCTGTTCACACCCACCTATGATGTCTCTTTGCAGCCCGGCGTGTGCTGCAAAGATAAACAAAATTAATCAATAGCAAGAGCTGCATTTTCGTTTTGTTTTGTTTTTAAAGTTGTTTTTTTTTGACATGGACCCATTTTGAAGACTTTATTGAATTTGTTACAATATTGCTTCTGTTTTATGTTTTGATTTTTTGGCCACGGGACATGTGGGATCTGAGCTCCCTGACCAGGGATCGAACCCGCACCCCCTGCATGCTTTTGATCTTGCAGTCAAGTCACATAGTTTCCTTTTCCAGGACAGTGCCACACTTCCCTCTGCCCTGTTCTCTTGTCTCTCTGAGCTTTTTCCCTCTTACTCCTGTTTAACCCATCCATCCCCTTGCCCAGTCATCCACAGATCTGCTCCCCACCCTGCCTTGTGCCGCCCCCGCCAACCCTCTGCATGATTTTATTTATTTTTTGTCATTTCCCATTCACCCTACTTTGTATGCTCTCACCCTCCCTTCCCACTTCTTCCCTTTCCCAACCAAGATCGCTGGGCCACCAATGGCTGTGAGGATGTGAAAATCTGAGCCACAGGCATGAATAATGAATTGGAAGAGGCAGACTGAAGCCAGTCGGAACTGAGACAGTATTTCCGAAATGCAGCCAAATGACTTAGCAAGAGGCAGGACAGAGTTACTGCAATCCCTGGAAGCCCCGGACACACTGGTAATTATGAAAATGCAGTTTTGATAAAGTACAAATCTGCAATTGTCCTAAGGCTGACAGAAGTGTCATACCCTGCTCTAGGCTGAAACGGGGAGTTCTGGAAGGTGCAGGGACACTTGCCGACCCCATTGCACTGAGGGACTAGTGCAGTCACTGGCGAGATGGCCTGCTTCCTCATTCCAAGAATAGCACCTCCACCCTGGGGTGGGGGCAGCTACACAAGGATGGCTAGAGGGTGTGGTACTGGAAGCTCCCACCCAGCAGCAAGGTCAGGGAAGTGGGCGATCTGGATCTTGAGGTTGCCGGAGGGGGAACAGGCAGGAGTCTGGATGCCAAGGAGAGTTGTCTGCTGCTCTTCTAACTCATCAGAAACCAGACTAAGTACCAGCCCTCAGATCTCAGGTGTCTGATCCTGCACTGTTCCCAGTTAGTCGGAAACCTCCTTTGGACCTTCTTTTACAAGCAAGACTTGCAAGACTTGGTGATGGGTCTGTGGAGCCAGTGGTCCAATCTGGGGACCTGTTGGAGCTGGTTGGTGAATGAGGGTCTGCAGACAATCTTCACTAACATTCTGGCCACCCCTCGAGTTCTCTCCCATTTGCCCCAGACACGTCTTTGTGAAATATAAACCTGGCTATAGCGCCATCTGCCCAGAAACCTGTCAGCAGCTACTCATTGGCTCCAGAACTGAGGCTAAACTGATAATAAGCTCCAAGGCCCTCTGTGACTTGGCCCAAACTTCCATCTCCGACTTCACGTCTCCACTCGGTGACTTGACCCGACAGTGCAGTGATGCCGAATGCTTTGTGCTCCGTGCCCTCTGCCGCTCCTTCCCTGCACACCTGTGATGCGGCTGTGTCCCCTGCATCTCTGTCTCCTTCACGAACACCCATTTATCCTCCCAAGACCCAGCGTAGGAGCCCTGTTTGCTAGGAATTGCTCTGGAGCTCTCAGATTGCACAAACTCCCCTCCCCAGCTTGTGTTCCCACCTTACCTACTGTCTACTTAACGTGGAAAGGTCTTTGTGAGCCCGGAATGTGTTACCCGGCCCAAGCACGCTCGCTGCACGACAGGCCAATAAGTCGGGAGACAAGTTGTTGAGGCAAGGAGTAATGACTTTAACGGGAAAGCTAGCTGACTGAGAAAATAGCTGACTAGTGTCTCAAAAAACCATCTTCCCTCAGTCCAAATTCGGGTTTCTTTTACACAGAGAAAGGGGAGGGGAGGAGCTCACTGCGATGCCAACTAATGGCTGAGCAGGACTGCTAAGGCTCGCTCACTAACGGTTACTCGCTAAGGGTCCTTCCCTAATGGTAGCTCGCTAACGGTGAGTGGGACCGCTAACAGTGGCTCCTTGACACTTGCTCGCTAAGGGTCGCTTGCTTGGCTCGCTTGGGGGGAGGGGCCCCCTGCGAGGCCGACCAACGGCTGAGCAGGACTGTTAACGGTCACTCCCTAACGGTCAGTTGCTTGGGGGAGGGGCCCACTGCGAGGCCGACCAACGGCTGAGCAGGACTGTTAACGGTCACTCCCTAACGGTTGGTCGCTAAGGGTCACTCCCTAACGGTCAGTTGCTTGGGGGAGGGGCCCACTGCGAGGCCGACCAACGGCTGAGCGGGACCACTACGGGTGGCTCGCTAACAGCCATGTGCCTGCCCCGCCCCTATTACAAATGGACACTCTGGGGGCAGAGACCCCCTCTCACTCACCCAGGAACGTTCCCTGCATCCAACACAATACCTGGAATAGAGTAGACATCCATTAATGCTTGTGTAGAGAATCCTGTCTGGAACAGGACAGGAAGCTAGGATTACAGTACTCCCATCTTACGGGTAGGGATGTTCCCACAGTCCCTGCCTTGGATAAAGGTCCAGCCCTCGGAGCAGTGCTCCCCTTCCCCGTCCCTCCCAGTGGAGAGCTCCCAGCGCCTGCTCATCTCCCTCCCCCAGCCTGACGTGTTGTGATTGTGATCTCAGGGGTCCACTGCTCCCCAGTTCCCTGTCTCTTCTCAGTGTTGTGCAGCCTTGACGGGCAGAGGAGATGCACCCTGCTGACTCGGATATTGAACTAAATCTTTCAAGCCAAAATTTCGTTCACTTTCCCCGAATGAGGACAACGACCGAGTCACGAAGGAACAGGTAGAGTAGGTATAAGTCTCTGTCTGCAAATTCAAATGTGCTAAAAAGCAATCTTGAATTTTTCATAACTCGATTTAATTTTTATTTCAAGTTCCATTTTTTTCCTGAGATGGTGGGGTGAGTCTCCCCTCTGTTTTCCCGAGTGTGGCATCTGAGCACCAGGGGGTTAACGTGGTGTCGGGGTGAGGGCAGACCTGGTCTTCATCCTCAGTGTCGTCTATTCATCCTGGTTCCTGCTGGGAAGCACCATCTCATGTCACACACTGTCCGCCCTGGTGGTCGCTGGGGCTGCCTCATTCCCGTACTCTCTGCCACGCTTGGGGACCAAGAAATCATGTTGGGGTCATGATGGGGCCCGGAGAACTCTATAAGGCCACATCTGCCAAGTCACAGTATAGAGTCATTGTCACTTCCCCAGAACATTACAGAAACAGGACGTGGGCTCACTCTGTTCTCTTTTTGTTGGGTTGGTTTTAGGTTCCAGCATCCCTCACGCTTGACGTGGAACCAGGGCTCATGGCCTCCTTTCTTAGGGACCTCCCAGCATCTAAGCTCTCATAACTCCCCGATCCAATTCACTCTCCTTCCAGTCTGTGGCATCCTTTTCTAGCCAGTGTGTATGTGAGGGTGAAGGGAGGGCCCTTCCGACTACTCATCTGAGATTGACAGTCTGTTACCTCTGTCCTGTTTCCATTTCCTCAAAGCCTATTCTTCTGAAACTCAAAGGCCATGAGGAGACTTTTTCCTCTGATCTTTGCTTTCACATTGCTTCCCTATGACAGTGATCACCTACCACCATCTAGTTACTGAATGGAGAGCAGAGGTAGGGTCTAGAGGGATTGGAGGGGGAGGTATCATTAAGAATGTGCTAAGGTAGCATTTATAAGCAATCAGGCACTGTCCTAAGGTCTTCACATACATTAGCTCATCAAATCATTGCCACCCAACGAGGCAGATGCTGTTATTATTCCCATTTTGCAGACGAGGAAACTGAGATTTCGTAGTGACAAATTGGAGGAGCTGGGACTTGAACCCAGGCAGCCTGGCTCCAGGGTCTGTGCCCTTAACCACTAAAATGACAGCTTCTCACTAACCAACAAACACCCTGCCACACACATTACTTTTGTTATAGATCTGTCTTCCTTGAAGATGTATAGGAAAAGAAAAGTTTAAAAATATTATGATGGAAACTTCTTCTACTCAAAGTGCTTATGCTGGGATTTAACAAATTTTGATCTTGATGAGAAATCTATCCGTCATCCATGTGAATGTCAAAAAAAGATAAAAGCCTAGAAGTCCTTAGAAAACAGAATCTCCCACCACCACTGCCACCACCAACGCCACCAGCTCAATCTGCCTGGAAGCGTTTTATCAGGCCCTTCAGCAGCAGGGTAAGAGTTAGAGGACCGGACCTCTGAAAAGGTGTTGCCAACTCTATATATCTCCCTCTGTGTGCCCTGGATGCTTCTATCTAATTCTAAGAACTAACATCCCTTTTGAATGAAAAGATGCCCAAGAAAAAGCATTTGTGTAGAACAATCATTCTTAACATTTTGGGGGGGTCACAGACCTTTTTGCATTCTATGAAGTACATCCCCAGAAAAAACAAATGCTTGTATCCAAATGAACACATAATTTGGCATAAAATTTTAGGCAAACTACTGAGCCCTGTACTATGTGTGAACTCTTCCTGGAAGGGAAACTGCATTATGTGTTTCTGTACCTTCAACACCTAGCAGAGAATAAACTCATTGAGTTAGACCCATCCTGCCTCCACGCTGGCCCCGGGCATGCACACTGACTCTCTGTGTATCATGAGGCACGGAAAATCTTCCCCTCCCCTTTATCCAGCCCAGATTCTCTGCAAATGCCTGTTGCCAACAAGGACATTTGTTCTTTGTGCATGGATGCCTGTGCTTTTGCCTCCGAGAGACAAGCACTGACTGGGATCTGAGTAGAAGCGGCCGCTCTGATTTTCAGGC